TTAAGTATCTGTCTGATGCAACCCAAGGACACACTACCACACGCTGATATCTCAGTTGTCTACAAAATAAATTGCAATGAGGGCGACTGCAGATATGTTGGGGAAACCGGGAGGAAATGGGAGACCCGCCTACAGGCGCACAAATCGGCCATTCGGAGGCTAGATATAAACTCTTAGCTAGCAGCGCACGTTGGATAGACTAGGCATACTTTCGACCTCCAGAGAGCTATCATTTTATGCCGGGACAACAGAAAAGCGAAACGGTTAACACTCGAGGCTTGGTACTCCGATGCCAACTCCATCAACAGGCATCTAGACCTTCCTGAAGCCTACAAAGTCCTACGTCATCACGTCCGTAGAGCTCTGTCTCAGGAGCCATGCCAATTTAAAAAGAAAAGAAACACATGCTTCTTCTAAACCCTACCTCATTGCAGCTGTCATAGTGATCTAGTGCCTGCATAAGGAAGGCACTGGAATTCACAGCAGCCTCGACACGCTTGAAGACGAAGGAAACGAAACCGCGACATAGGATCATCTGAAAATTAAGATTCTTTCGAAATTCCTTCAGTTCATTCTTGTCAAAGAATCAGAACTAAGCATAGGCAGCCCATGAGCCCCAGCGGCTGGTGCACAGATTAGCTCATTTTAAGTTATCAAGCGCATCGCAAAATCGGAATTGAGCAGAGTAAAACCGGCTAAATCATTAGACTCAGATAATATTCCGGATGTATTCAGCTTTCGGGAGGACTGCCCGAGCCTCTCTCTATCATATTTCCGCGGTCGCTCGTCTTCGGTGAGTTTCCGGGCTCACGGTTCAAAGCTAACAACTCTAGGTTTGCCAGCAAAACCTGTATTTGTTGCATGCTGGGGGAGAGAATTCTCGGAGGATAAGTAACTCCTCTGTCCAACCAGTATGTTATTATGATGACACACAGCACGGCTCTCGTGTAAACCGATACCACCACAAAAGACCAATCATATGGGAGAAGTGCAGGGCTGCTTTGGACGCGGTATTCGCGATATAGGCGATAACAACAAAGACTTCTACAAAGTCCTTGATTGTCTTACCACAGTGTCCCCCCCAAGCCGTTTCATCTGGGCGTTTGACAAGAATTAAAAGCCTCTGGACGACATCGAAGCGGTACCGCCGAACGATATGTCAGAATCCTCTCTAGAGCCATAGGCGACGCGGAAGACGGGGTCAAGTCGAATGTGGGGACCTGTGTCTACTACCTTCCGATACAGAGGATTATTCATGATAAGGGCGACGAAATTATCTCACGAGGGTGTAGACGGCTTACACAATTGGACTAAGAATTCGTGCATGCAAATCGACACTTCCAACTTCACGACAATGAACTTGCATGCCACAAAACGAAAGCAAACAAAAACTCCCCGGAGATACTATTCCAAAGGAGCTCTGTTTGAGACTGACAAAGGCAAAAATTTCCTCACTGTAGTGATACAACATGACTTAAGCGGCAAAACGCAGTCCTCAGGGACGGCAACTCGTGCGTTCATCAGTTTGGACGTCATTTTTCTTGATCAAATTTCTGGAGCGATGCAAAACGATAATGGTGTCTGAGCTGAAGTCCCACAATCGCACACAGCAGCTGTCTGTATTAAATGTTTTCCTCCCGATCACAGGCGGAGGAGACGAAAACCAGATTCGACCTTCTAGATGCCGAACAGCTGCCAGTGATCCTATGTCACTTTCCCGGCTCGAGTCATAGTAAAGCCTTCGAGGATACGGTTGTAAGCTACAAAATAAATGAGTCAGACAAACCAGCGCTACAATTCTCTCTCTCGAGGAGGATGGCGCAAGAGAGGGACGCTCTCCTAGCTGCTGTACCTGATGGCGAGACAGGGTCAAGGCCTTTAAACATCTTACCAATCAGCGGTTTACAAAGTGTGGTGCGCTCCAGCGGGTCTGTTCGAAATACGCGACCTGGACGCGCTACAATCATACAAACACGCTACTCGTTTCATTACAGTAACACGTGTTATTTAAATACTTACTGACTGGCATAGCACCCGCTGATTCTGTGCACCAGCCGCGAGACCAGGACTTACACGCGCCACTCCAAACCGTCAGTTGCACAGTCTCGCCATCTCCTGAACCTCTCCTACCTGGCTCCCATTTTGGGTTGAGCATTTTGCGATTAAATAGTAATACTACCCGCCAAAGCTCTGCAGTCATTGCCGGGACACGGTTTGGTGAAAATGACCTTAGTTGATGGCGAGGAGCAAGCAACAGCTGCCATGTTATAGGAGGCAGCCGATTGGTTCCGGCGCAGATATTGAATTCTATAACTCCGCAGTCAGCACAAACTCAACATAAAATGATGTAGAGGATTCCGACAAAGTCAAGGAAGAGAGATGGCCATTTCCGGCTTATTAGATGTCGTCAGCCAGCCCCAGAGGCACAACAGGACGAGCATGCCCCAAAACTCGACCGGTGAGTGCACCTGCAACGCAGGATGAAGTGTCCGGTAATACCTAAATGGACAAGACCAGTTTCTGGCCTTTTCATTAAAAATACAGGGAGGGATTTTGCGGAAGGTCTTTGCTGTCCCTTATGAGGAAATATTAAAGCTGGGCTCAATGTAACGTGACATTTTTGGACGTAATCAAAAACACACAAGGCGGACTTAGAAGGAAGGGCTGTGAGAACCGATACTTGGGCCGCTGGTTCGTGGCACGGCACTCTACCTCAAACTGATCACATGATAAACCTCCCATGTAAGTTTGGAGTATAACTGGAGATAGCAATCAAGGTAGACATTGCCATCACAGTCTGCTCTCCATTAACTGCTATTTGTCTCTATGCTACCGAGGGCCATAGCCGGTCCCCAGAACAAGGTGCCAGACCGGTCCAGCCTGCAAATAGACTCTGCCGCTGATGGCTGCAACCATGGGAATTTATTTATTACTGACGGCCGACCAACCCGGAGACCCATAACTTGAATGTGTCCAATCACACTACGCAACCCTGCAGCGGAAGTAACACTCACATGCCGGGAAACAGGTGTTGGTCTGGACCGACGATGAACGAATCTCAGGTTCCTAGAGGTGACGGGTTTTTAACCAACGTGGATACAACCGCGTGCACAGACTACTAGGATCTCTAAACTCAATACTGACGGCCGGCTGTTGCCTACTTGGTTATTTCACCGGAGGCTTTCAGATGCTAGATCGTTCGACTAACTCAAGAACTGGTTGCCTGTTAAGTTGCTTTTACGATCAGTTTTAACAACCACCCCGATCGGTAGTTACAGATGTGCACGCCTTAAATCCTCCACAGATGTGATGGTAACATTCTAAGTATATTGGACGGAAATCCTCTCCCACTCACCCTGCTTCCCTCCCTCTCCTTCATATGCTTCTTCTAGCTCGGGACTCCAGCACGTGAGTTGAGAGCCTAGGCCACCGTGCTATTAGATTCGGAGGCATCAATCAACGAAATTTACGCCCCACGTCACACAAGAGGCAACAACAGAGCAGCACATCCGAGAATCGGACTGCCAGCTAACGATTTGTGCCGGAGGTCTGGGAATGACTGCACAGGGTTCTGTATGGTGCGCCGGTTCAATATATCGATTAGCTGAGTCCTTATCAGAGTCCTAGACTTCAGTGAAATCTCCACTTGCCTTATTTCCGGCATGATCAGTCATTCTGACGCCTGCGAAATTGAGCTCATGACCCGTCTAGAAGGCGTAGGCGGCCACCTGCGATTACTCGTCACCCCATCGTGTGGCCAGCTTACGCTCGCGTATGCGCTACTCGAGCGGCATAATTACAAGGTCATTTTGCGCACGGGATGCGACACCCTAAGACAGACTGCTCTCTGCGGTTTAATCGGTCTTAATTTCCATGGCCCTGCTGCGGGTGACAGATCTGGACTGGTAAGCACGAGAGGCAGCCCCATTTAGGGACGGTGTTCAGTGGCACTGGATTTGGGATAAAGGCAAAATCCACATCTCCCAGTGGCGGAGGGCTTCCGGGCACCGACATACAATCGCACGGCCCTAACCGGATAGATGTGTCAGAATGAAAATGGAGCGCCAACAGGTGGAGGTCAGATATAACTGCGCACGGTTGCACTCTGCTGAATGAACACCTTTCGACCCTAGACCCCCCATTCCGAGGACCACTTGTGACCGGAAAAGGACGAATTGTTGACAATGATACTGAGTCAAGCCCTGAAAATCGACACACGCACCGGACGAGGGGTATAACCACTAAACAGCCGTCCACACCGTCTCAGTTAGCACAATGACAAATCATGAGCAGTAGGCTAAGCCCTAGAGTGCGTACCTTTCACCACTTTCTGACCCGACTGCAGGCTGTTGTCGACTTGGTTATTTCACCGGAGGCTTTTAGATGCCAGACCGTTCGACTAGCTCAATAACTGGTTGCTTATTAAGTTGCTATTACGATCAGTTCTAACAATCAAACCGATCGACAGTTACAAACGTGCACAGATGCGACAGCACTATTCTTTGCCGCGACTGCTTTCGCATCGTGGTCTGATGAACATGCGTCAGTCTGGCTAAAACATGGGAATCCGCGGGCACACAAAAAGCTTTTCGAAGTATTTTGGACGGAAATTCGCTCCTACTCATCCTGCTCCCCCCTCGCCTTATCAGGGACGCAGACTTCGGTAAAACCTCGGCTTGCCTTGTTTCTGGTATGATCAGTTATCTTGACGGCTGAAAAATTGAGCTCATGGCCGGTCTGGAAGGTCACTTGCGATTATTCGGCACCTCATTGTGCAACCAACTTGCGTTCGTGTATGCGCTGCTCGAGTATATGCTCAGCCCGAGCGGTAAGGTCATTTTGCGCACGGGATGCGATACACTAGGCTGCTATCACAGACTACCCACCAGAATAGTCGTCATCGGTCTAGGGGGCCGGGAGAGGGAGAGACAGTGGGAAAAAAGATAGCTAGAAGGTTAAAAGGTATGTCAAGATGTTGTGTGACATGCATATACACATAATTAAGAACGACGTCGTCGCCGCCGACTGCTACTTCGACTGGTGTAGGCCTCGTCTTCACTCAGGCTGCTGTTCGCTTCGCCGTCTTCTGGCGTGGGTGTCTGTCGTTGACGATGCCTGTGCGCCTTCTTGGAAGAGGAGGAACGATAGGCAATCTCACCCTCCTCCTCTTCACCATTCTCCTCTTCAGCCTCGTGGGTCCTCTCCTCCTCGAAGTCCTCATCAGCTGCTTCGCCCTCTTCCAGCTCACCGTCGGGACCACCACCACCGCCAACAGCACCAGCGCTGGCTATCTGGCTCCTAGAGTTGGAGGCGCCTGACGTTGATAACTGGGCTGGAGGGCTGGCGGTGTCTCTGTTCTTGTCCTCTCGATGCTTTGACTTGTACTTCTTGGACTTCTTCGACTTCGATTTGGTCTTCTTGTGCTTCTTCTTCGAGCTCGGCGCCAAGTCGGTGTCCTCACTGCCGCTCTTTGAGGCGGCACGATGTCGCGAGCGTTTAGAGCGGTCTTTTCTCGAACTGCCATCGCCACGGGCATCCAGTTCACTCTGGGAGTCGCCCTCTCTCGATGTAGATCTGTATTGGGTTAAAACATTGGTAGGTTAAGAGGAGAAAACAAGGCTCGAGAGTGGGGCAGAGGAGCAAGAAAACTCACCGAGTCTTGTGGGCTTTGGAGCGGCGGGATTTTGAGCCATCCACAGCGTAGACGCCGGCTCCTGTGTCTACCGAGTCTAAGGCGAGAATGTACTCTTTGAAGACCCTGATACGTTCAGATTCCAAGGTAATCGCCTTCAATCGAAACATAAGGACACAACATTTAGGAGAGCCAGTGAGGGGCAACAAACCGTGAGCAAATAATGCAATGCCGAGGCCGTCCACAAAGGCTTAGAAAGATTATCCCTTCTGCTAATGGCATTGTTATAAGTCACCACCGCCACCGCCACCGGAAGGACGAAATCTCGGACGGGGTCATGAGAGCGTTCACAACACTACTCCACGAACTCATACGGAGAACGGAATAAACAGCACCATACCGCAATTAACGAGGTACTCCAAAACTTGTGCCAATGTATGCGGACAAGTGACAAACCTATGCGGGAGGCAGATAAGCGCGATAGTAATGTTCAGGTGTTAGCCTCGAAGAGGATCGAATCTAAATGGATAAGGCCCTTCCGCGCAGTCAGTCAAAGCACAGACTGCGGTTCCCAGTAGTCTGCAGGGCGGTACACCCACGGAGACGACAGTTCAATCGTCATCACCGACAGCAGAGGAGGCGCAGGGACGGTAACTAACTCGTGAATTAACTGACAGTGATGATGGACTTGGGCTGCATCTTCCGCACTCTCTCCTCCCTCAACTGCCCGAGTTCGGTGTCAAGGCGGAGTCAAGGAGATCGGCGGCGGAATCGGGTGCACTAGCAAACAGCCGGCCTGCGCGTGCCATACACGTCCGGTTTCCACAGAAACAAGAATCGGATCCCAACAGGGCGAGGACGCCATAGAGGGCACATTAAGGGGCCATTGCAGCCCGGTTCTCCGTTATGAAAGGAGGATTGAGTTGTCCCGTCAGTTGGCAACTTTAAAAGTCATTGTTTTTAGCGCATTGTGATAGTTTAAAAGCGCGTCAGGTTGTTTAGGTATGGAACTATGCACTGGGGACGGGGTCTACAGAATTGACCTCTCTCTCTCCTTCCTCTGTCAGGCACTGTCCACTGTCCGAGCCGGTCAGTCACCGGGTGCGGGAATCAGGTGCAGGTGGTTGGCAGAACTAGACGGCCCGTCTGCGCGTGCCACGCACAGCCTGGTCCTCCGCACTACACACATTTCCCACTTACGCGAGGTGCCTATCACGTGCCTGTGGTGGGTGATGTGGGACGGGTTCGCGCGTGGTATGTTACCGACAGCCATCATGGCCATTTCTGGCGTCCTTGTGTCCATGGCCCCGCCGCGTCAAGGCCATTCGCCTTCACAGCTAGCGGTTCCAGACGCGCTGACCTGCAACCACTTGGCCGACTTCAACTCGGATCCACACGCGTCCCTAGAGTCGCAGCTGCCCATGCGCCACTTGAACACACCATCCCCCTGCCAACACAGCACAGGCTACTTGAACGCCACCCCCTCGGGAAATGCAACACACGTCAGTCGGACACCGCTCGAGCTTACTCCTACAAAGGCGGCTGGCACCACTGTCTCTCAAAGACTCTCAGACATGACTGGACGCAGTCAACGCCAGCCCGCCACTGCCGCCTCAGATGACAATTCAGGACATCGAATTTGAGACCACGGCAAAATCCACATCTCCCGACGGCAGAGGGCTTCCGGGCACCGACATACAATCGCACGGTCCTAACCGAATAGATAAGCGTGTCAGATTGGAAATAGAGCGCTGACAGGTAGAGGTCAAATATAACTACGCACGGTTACACGCTGTTTGTTCAACTGACTTCCGTCTTCTCCTTACAAATCGGGATTTGACCTGATGATTTTAACTCTCTGAGTACACTCTCCGCTTAGCCACTACAGGTATATGGGGGTGGTGGGGAGATGTGTAGTGACGCGGTTTGGTCGGCGGTGACTTATCAGATTTGCATGAGGGCGCATGTGGCCGAATTGACCCACGAATGTCTACACCTGCCTCTCGATAGGTCACTGAATTTGTAAAATTCGCTCGACCAAAAAACTTCCTTGACTTCGCCCTGGGTTTAGGCGATCAGAGATAGAGGCGAAATCCGAAAATGCCTTCAACCAGACTCATGAGTTAATCCTAATAAGCGTGGACCAAGTCAACACTCGCGGGCAGCTGTTTGAGGCAAACCCAAAAAAAACAGTTCGGGACTCTTCCGATGAACATCTGTGGCTGTGTTTCAAGAAACGATAACCGAGGACAGAACTGGGACCACTGAATGTCATTGCGAGTTATGAAGGATAAGGGTTTTTTGGGTGAACACGAATTCGCGTCTCAAGCCCACCGACGCCAGTCCTAAGGCCTGTCAAAAGTGCGTAGAGCGTGTTAGGAGACAGGCAGAGAAGGGGCTGTTTCAATAACAAGGTCAACAACAAAATGGATATGAGCAACTCGCAAGATGATTGGCTAAATCACTTGAGCCAAAAAGTGAGACAAACTAAGCGGTGTTGTTTGCTTACGTGGAATCTCTCTAGCAGGTTTAACACACCTGTCAGAAAAAAGTTCAGAGGAAGTGAGCTACGCCCGTATTACTGGTAGAGGCGCCATTGGGGAGGTATTTCTTCGTCCCGCAGTTAGTTTATAATTAAAACAAAACAATCATCCGTGATGCTTTAGATTACAGGCGTAGCTATATGACTACCCTCCTCCTGGGACTACTGTTGATATAGCGGTTTACTGGGAAACCGGGCTTGGTCAGATGCGGCTATGTGGCACTACCAGAAGTAAATAAACGCATGCCATCTGTAATACGGGACCGGTGGTAATGGCGATTAATACAGGTGGGGCCGGGGAACGCGCAGGTGACGAGGTCAAGTATGCAAAAGAAAAGCTATTGGGAATGCGCGGTTGTACTTTGATTGGTTGAAAAATAGTTGCCCTAACCCTAACACCTAACCATAACCATCAGGTGAGGTTATATAACCGTGTCTCACAGGATTTTACATTATAGGGTTTTTCTTGTGACATTTAATGAGGTAGCACACCTACTGTACGCTGGGGTGGCATGACGAACACACACTAGTTTCACCCCCGTGTTCCATGCAACGAGGGGGAGGGGGGAGTATGCTGCTATAGAATGCAATAACATCTCCAAAGATGAAGAACAACCTAGTCCAGACCGAGGTCTCAGTCAGTGACCGTCATTCCGCGCCATATGAGAGAAGGCCGACGGAATAACGACTCGTACTGGGACATGGGGCTGTCAAAATGCACCCCAAACGAGGGCATGAATGCCTCAAATCAACCCCCCCCCGCCCCCCAGTGAGCGCGAAAACTCGGATAACCGAGCAGTACGAACAGGCAGGCGGCTATACGCTGGTAGAAAGGGCCTACACTGTCTCACCGTAAAGGCCGGATGATTGCCGAGACGCTCACTGACCACCTCCCAGGGAGTGTCTGCACGGATAGGTGGATCTGTGATCTGACGAAGTATCTCACAGAAGGCCTGTTCCTGCTTGCGCAGCCGTCTCGCCTCCTCCCGCTGACGTTCAGTCTCCCTGCCGTGCGCCTTCTCAATGAGACTGTTGAAGGTCAGTCGGACGTTTCCCAAGTCCAGTGCTTTGCCTCGCTCGTCGGCGAGAATGAGCTGAAGGAGATAAGGGCATTGTTTAGCAAAAAAATGAAAAGTTAAATGGGCAAGATTAGACACAGCCATTGAGGGCATTGAAGAGATGGGTGCAAATGCGAAGGTCAGTAGTCCCCCCCCCTTTCCCTCGTCTACGCGACACCGGTCCCCGCATGGGGTAGGGACCGCCAAGGCAACTACACCCATTAGAGGAGGGAGACTCGATCAGTGGGGCAAGAGTACTACCCAGCAGGCGTCTAGGATTCACACACAAACCCATCACCAGGCTCGGCGACAAGCTGTCGTCATCGTCAGTCAGCCATACGCATCCCTAGATGGCCTGGGGTTCGAACCGGGAGTCTTTGCTCCTTGAGAGTTAACTATTATTGAGCTACGGGCCCCCATTGTCCTGTCGGCTGTCTGCTAATAAACGAGAAATGGCCAACCCAGACCTCCTTGTCTTTGTCGATGCTCCCTTCTCTGCATGTATTACTGGTCGCTACGCCGCTACTTGCGAGGAATTTTGACTGACCCCCAAGGCACAAGGAGACGAGTACATCCCGTCACCCCGATAGACATCTGTGAGGTCACTGTGGCTAACCCAGGCCTCCTTGTCTTTGTCGATGCTCCCTTCTCTGCATGTATTACTGGTCACTACGCCGCTACTTGCGAGGAATCTTGACTGACCCCCAAGGCACAAGCGCGTCCCGTCACCCCGATAGACATCTGTGAGATCGCTGAACTAGCCCATTAATTACGACGCAGCAGGAGGAATTTGAGAATTTTCTCAGCTGCCTCGCAGACTGAAAAGTGAAATGATGGGCACTTGCTGCTGCTGCCTTCCCCTTCGAGGCAGGCAGGTCGCAAAATCAGACCGGATTTCTGGGCTTCGAGTCTCGACTGTGCTGAGTCGTTGTGACTTTCAGCCATCAGGGCGTCTTACACGAGACATTTCTAGCGCGCATTAGATGTTAACCTTCAGGTGTGTGTGTGCGAACGAGAACATGATCTGACCCACAGGTGCTGTCAGTTTCGGCACCACGCGTCGATCTGTTTTCCATGAAGTCAACTACGAAATATTAAATTGACGAGAATGAAGTCAACCTGACGGCCAGAGCCCGAATACTAGGTTATCACATTTTTAAGGGGATGCCGAAAGCCCCACTTGTTGCTAACGAGCAGCTAGTTCTCAGCGCATGAGATTGACGTATGTTTAGGTAAGGTGATACCATATTAACAGCACAAGTACTAGCCAAAAGCCCATACACGCGTGTTTGGCGGATGTTTTGCCGCTGCATGGCGCAGCTGCGAGGGGCTCGGCTCGGCTGTGGGTCCCCCAGCATTCCCCGTGCGTTTTCTGATAGATACTCCAATTTAGAAATTGTCGCTTCTTAATTTCCTCAGAAATTATCTACGAAGTTGGAGTAGATCAGTTTATGCAATTCATGTATAAAATTCTCGGTCTGAGCCTATAGACCTTGAATAAACTGATCTACTCTAACTTCGTAGATAATTTCTGAGGAAATTAAAAAAAGCGACAATTGGCGTATGTGTCCACGGAAAATTTCAATGATAAGCTAACTTACGACGGAGTGCGTAATAACTAAAAATAGCCGTTTCGGTCTATTTATCCTCACATCAAGCGGTAGCAAGCTCGCGGTTTGACTCAGTGCCCAGTGGCTCATTAAGCACTACGGTTAGGCACTCTCAGAGGGCCATGTGTGTGCGCGTGGGGGCGTGGTAGCATGGCTAAGTGCGGGTCCGGCCGTTCCAGTCACCTGCGCCCTCCCCCCGCCTCCGGTCTTCTTGACTCTATCTTGAAACCTGGTCCAGGTGGGGAGGGAGGAAGAGAGTGCGGTAGATGCTGCGCAAGTCACCATGTCTGCTGCACCTTGCTGTGTGACACACGGTGGACATTGTTGGAATCGACGGCCCAACTATCATGTGTGGGGAGGGGACTGTTATGCACCTGCACAGTGTTTAAAGCACAAAACTGGCGGACGCGACGGCAAAGAAATGGTAAATATAAAAAAAGAAGTTGGCTAGGTACCTCCTTAAAGTTGTCAAATGAGGAGGACAATTCAATAGTGGTGCCAGTCTCCTTCAGAATTTCGGTCTATTTATCCTGATATCAAGCGGTAGCAGGCTCTCGGTTTGAGTCAGTGCCCAGTGGCCCATTAAGCATTACGGTTAGGCACTCCCAGAGGGCCATGTGTGTGCGTGTGGGGGCGTGGTGGCATGCCTAGGCGCGGGTCCGGCCGTGCCAGCCGCCTGCGGCCCCCCCGCCTCCGGTCTTCTTAACTCTATCTTGAAACCGGGTCCAGGTGGGGAGGGGGGGAGAGTGCGGTAGATGCTGCGCAAGTCTACTATCACCTTGCTGTGTGGCACACGGTGGACATTGTCGGAATCGACGGCCCAACTATTATGTGTGTGTGGGGGGGGGACTGTTATGCACCTGCACAGTGTTTAAACAACGAAACTGGCGGACGCGACGACAAAGGGTAAATATGAAAAAAAGAAGTTGGCTAGATACCTCCTTAAAGTTGTCAAATGAGGAGGATAATTCGACGGTGGTGCCAGTCTCCTTCAGAATTTCTTTAATGAGCTTCTTCTCGATGGGAAAACGAGCCTTGAGACTTTCCACGTAGAACTTGAAGAGGTCGAGGGGAGTTGAGCCACGTTGGGCAAGCATCGCATGAAAGCGTTCATCGCTTGGTGTTGAGGGGAAAAAAGTACACAGTTGTGAAAGAAGTAGGCGTTGCGATAAAACTAATAAAGGGTTGATGGTGGCCATGAATAAAGCGTGCAGGGATGATCCTTCATTACTCGAAAAAAGCTCTTGAAAAGGAATGGTGGACGAAGAAATAACTGTTGGGTGGTGCTTAGGGCAAGTTGATTGATTTAGTTAAAATTAACTTATTAAATTAGGGGCATTTACTCCCTTGCGATCTACTAGTGGAGAAATTGCTCTGTCCGACCCAACGAAGTTTTAGCTGTATCCCCTTTCGGAGATCAATTTCTGCACTCGTTAAAGATCGAAACTGCAGAATAATCTTCCCTCTGCTTAGTTGATATCTTAATCTTGGCTCCGTTTTTGAACGCTCCCCTTGTACTACATAATGTTTGGAGAGATATTTCCGACGAAAATTGTGGTAAAATCCAAATTAAGTGGAGTGCCACCGATACTATGATTCAGGGCGTGCTGTCAGGGGATTGGAGCCAAAGGTTGTGTAAATCGACGGGTGTAATAATTCATTCCATCCATTTGTGAAAAGCTCGCTGATCTCGATAAGATTCGAACGCATTACACCAAGACCAAGGACTGAGTACAATCAACGATCAAACCATGTGAGCTACGAGGATCCCATCGGGAGCCGTGAGTCTAGTCACATTTGGGTTAAGTTACCCGTCCAGCCCGCTGCAACGTATGAAATCCACAAATTCTGATACGGTGAGTTGACTGCCCAAGCAGGACTTCCTAAGTAATTAATCTAGAATTTACCAGATGACCCAAAATGTGGTTAAACTCACGGCTCCCGGCAGAAGCTTTGTAGCCCAGGTGGTTAGAACGTTGACGGTCCTCAAAACTAGGCGCTGCCGTCGTGGGTTCGAGCCCCACCGAAGCCGCCGAGTTCCTTATAATTGGGTCAAATTGGTTGTGTAAATGACGACGAAAGGATTTTTTTCGGCTACTTATGACTTCCAACAAGAATAGCATCTTTCGACAGTTCTGTTCAACAACATGATGAACTGTCCTCTTCGGCACGCGTTCCCAGACCACCCCGAGATGTCGTGGTTCGTGAATGCCGGATCTGAATTAAGCCGATGACACTGCGGTCTTGGCGAGTTCCTCTGCAGAAATGTTGCGTGCTTTGTCTTTAACAGATCCGACGGTAGCCAAAGCCGACCTGAAAATCAACTTTTTTTAAAAAAAATTATGATTGCCAAGCATTGCGCTATCGATCACGACTGGCAGTGAAGCTCTTGCGCAAGTGGACAACTTCTGTTAGTTTGAATCGGACGCTTTGAGACTGGATAGAAATGGAATCGGCCATTGGATCCACTAAGCACGCGTGGGCTTCGTCTGACTTCGATAAGGCCTAAGGAACCACTGTGAGAGCAGTCTGAAGAGCAGATCGTGAGGATCAGCGGCTTCCGTCACAGTTGCCGTCTAGCTGGACATGAAACATGGCCCGTGCGCCCAAATGATATTCATCGTGGAGAAGGAGACAGGACTGCTTCCTGGAATTTATCTTTTCGCTTCTATTAGATATTCATTGTCTCGAACCGACCCCAAGAACAGCGGGCTGCTGTGCCAACTGACTCAACTTCGGTTGGATGTCTGCCAGCGATCGACTGAGATGAATGGCGGTCATTCGTGAAAGTGCAACATGGAGACGGCTGATTCGGAGACGATAAATATACCTGAAGATAACTGAATATGTCTGAAGACGAGCTGGAGAACCAGTCTAGAAAATTTACACAATAAAGTTTGCTGCTTCCCAAAGAACTTCACCTTTCTAATTATATTTCTTGCGATGCCTGTTTTTCAATATATACCCTTTTAGATACGCTCGGGAGGCACCACACAGCAACCAAGGTCAAAGTGCAATAATGGTACTGAACAATTTCTAAACCTCTTAGGACGACCCCAATCAAAAAATAACCCCTTAAGAAGCATGCAGTTTTTATCGCTTCTGAACTATCTCAAGACGGCGCCATGAGACAAACTTTGTACAGCTATTTTTTGGAAAAAATATATCAGCTAAAATTTGTTCTAAAAAGTAAAAATTGTGGGTTTGGTGAAAACCCACAATACACATACGCGAGACTTTTGCCCACAGATAGGGCATATATATAAGTCTGTAAATAAGTAGAAGGATTGAGTTAAACGACAGGAGGACGACATTTTTTGGTCGATCTAGAAAAAAACCAACATTTGTAGAATGGCCGTGTAAAACCAATTCTACCACTAGGTGCATGTTTTTACAGGACGGTGGTTTTACCATAGTCCAACATATATATTAGCTAAGAACCAGGATTCTGTGGCTGAATGACCCAGTTGCGAGGGGTTCGTCACCAAAAGCACCCATCCGCATGGATCTGACTGGCTACTTACTAACACTTAAAGGAAACATAGATGACGGGGGACGTATGATGGAGTTGGCATAAAATTACACTACCAGTGGCATTACTCGCCTTTATAATAATACTCCGCAGATGTCCTCAAAATAAATGTTCCTTACGACTTTGAGGCTGACCATAATAAAGCCGATCTCGGGACATTATAATGCGGGTCTCTCCCTTAATTACCCAAAGCACCAGTTTAACATTAACATCTGCAGTTCATGCATTAGAAAAACCATAGGCGGCGCTGAGGAGACGAATTCGTTGCAAGAAGAGGCCAGCCATGTCACCGATAAAACATGTGTCTGAGCATTTAGCTAAAAACTACATGGAGGGTCCGACAGAATCGCCATCACTATCATGCCCAACGGCAAGAGTCCCGACCCAGATTCTGAGCTATTAGAACCTGAGGTTGAGGCACGACTGGTTGACGAGCATTCCCGATCTCAAGTAACCGGACAACGAGTCTATGGCTAAAGGGTAGAGCGTTGGGCTACTTGAAGCCCAATGACCAGAGACGCATAGTTAAAATGCCAGATTTTGGGCTGGGTATGTCTGGCTAACGGTGGCTAACAAGCCTGAGATAGCCATCCCAGTCTTTCTCGTCCCTCTAATACTCCCCTTCCTTGCATATACTTCTGGTCGTTATGGGACTGCCTGCGAGGGCTCCATATGGAGCTCCAAGGCACAGCGGGCGACTGTAATTATTCGTACCGTTGCTTCTTGGAGATCAGTATATAGATCTCGCTGTCGGTCGCATAGCGGCCAGCAATATATACCAAAGGGATATCCAGCAAATGCAGCACGTGTGCTAACTCATCAAATTTCCACGGAAATTCTGAAATGCGTTCTCAACTCGAAAGGATTACTTAGGTAGTGTTGTAGTCTAAATTACCGCGCAACATAATCCTAAGATAACTCAGTTACTTCGGGATGCCGGCTTTTGAACGAACTTCTTTTCGGTCGCCTGCAAAAAAACTGCACTCTGTAAAAAATGAACACTTAAGCTGCATGAGTTTTTCTAATTTATTTTCGATGTTCTTATAAATTCAAACAGGAAGCACGCATAGAAGTATTCACTCTCTTCACACTTTCCCGATTTCCGAATAATTTCGAACTCGACCTGCCGTAGTACTTGCATTCAGGGTTTCCAAACTACAAGCTGTATATTTTCCGTGTACAGGAAATCATACATTTATCTACGCTGTTAAGAGGAGACCGTATGGGGTTCATAAAATTTAACACTGGAGCTGAGCCATATTGTAAACTTCATAAGCAACACTGGTAAATTCGGAGACATGATGTTTAATGAAAGGGCATTTCACGGTCCTAAAAAATCCCATAATTGGAAACTTTCTTAAAACTGAATTGTACCCTTCATTCATGTATAAAATCTGAAGAAGACATAATTTTCTTCCAAATGAGTAGACGGATGAATATTTTTATGCATGTTTTCTATAGAATACATTTGAATTTATCATGGCATCGAAAATAAATTAGGAAAATTCATACAGCTTAAGTAGTCATTTTTTCCAGATTGTAGTTTTTTGCAGGCGGCCGAAAAGAAGTTCGTTCAAAAGTCGGCATTCCGAAGTAAGTGAAATATCTTGGGATTATGCTGCACGGTTAGAAATTCCACAAAATTACTTAAGTAATCTTTTTGAGCCGTAAACGCATTTCAGAATTTCGGTTAATGTTTCAGGAGTTAGCGCATCTACTGTACATGTGAGACTGCGATGGTCATTTATGGCGTCTTAGACGCCGCCAGCCTGCCGGTCCCTGATTTGGGAGCACCTGAGGTCCGAACCCGTTAATAGTTCGACGCACTAACCACTGGGCCATGGGCCCGTTGTCCGGCCTTCAATGTTCAGGTTTGACCTTCTTCAGAAAGTAATGTACGAACCTGGGGAAAATTATCAGCGACAAACACCTTCAGATACGACCCGAAGGATAGTAGGAATATTTGCGCTGAAATTAATCAATCCCGGCGGAAAACTGGGTAATATCCGTCATCTACCAACATGTGGTCAACAATACACAGATACTGATTGACATACCATACCAGCGGCGTTACGGGACAGCAGAAAGTCAGTAAGGCACAAAACTGGCTTTTAACTAATATAGGTACTGCGCGTATCTTGAAAAAAATCAATATCTGCATGGTGCTGACTGTCTGTTGGCGACTTGCGAATACAACGCGGTTAGTCCGCTGATGCTGATGAATTTAAATCCTGATATTTATTCCAAATTTCTAGCCGAATTAGAAAAGTTTTGTGCTGAAGAATTTACTCCAAGTTCGCACACACACTTTTGAGGATATATATTGCCTCTAGGTGGTTTGAAGGCCGCTAAATATGTGAGAAGTGGTTCAAGCCTTGATAAAATACGCGAAATGTGGGAATTGTTTTTCTTAAAAAAAACTGGTTAAGTTTTGAAACCACAAAATTAGGAAGGAGATGCTTTTTGGAATGAAGTGATTTAACAGATCCCGATTATTGAATGAGTGACCATTAAGGCAAGAGAACAAACCGTAGTAGACAATTATTCAACGCATAAACTAACCGATTTATGATTGAAAAGAGATCCTTCCACAGTGAAGTCGATGTTAAGAGCTGCCTTTCATGCAATTCATCGAGCAGAACAATAAATGCCTCTCGATTTTTTCTGTTTGCACGCTTTTGTTTTCGTTTTTCACGCTCTTTTTCCTCGTCATGTTCCCTCTCAAGCATCCTAATATGCTCCTCGAAGCAAATAAGGGCATCTTCCTTGTCCAAATTTTGAAGCTCCAGATCACTTGTAAACCTGCGGGGGGAGTTATAGAAGTAAATGAGGTTTATCAACCAGTTTAAAGTGGCAGCATAAATTAAAGATTACTTATAGGAAAGGAGTACTTAGAAGTCATTCTGAAGCAAGAAAACAGCCCGAGTGTCTTATTGTAACGGAAGGGTGGGTGGGTATCTAGCCCGGGTTTAACAAACGACCTGTATCACAACTATTCTTGCCTCGGTCGCAGCAGATTCAGACACCGTTATGAATAAGTGGGCTGATGACGATTGCCGAACCTTTTCTTCGAAATCAACCGAAATGTTCTGCGCAATGATCGTACTTCTGAACGGCTCTCTTTGGGTTTGGCGAGCGTACACAGCCACAAAACGCCGAACTAACATAACCTCCGCGTTAATTAATCATTGCAGCATAAGTCGACGTTGGCTGACCCCGGCGCCTACTTGGAGTCTGGCAAATATTCTTGCCCAGAGGGGAGGCCTGGTCGCATTCGCATGAACTGCTCGTCCTCAACGTAGCTTGCCTTAAGTGTTCGACAAAAATAAATATTCGCGCACACAGCCAGTCTTGACGTCTAACTTGAGGAGTGGTTGCGACTATGAGCTCTGTCTGACTGATCTTCGACACGGCGAAAAAAAACGTGTGACCAGACGGATATCTGAGTGAGATCTACGGAAACTCGGCAAGCCACTGAATGGTCGGAGAGTATCAACTAGTATCTACACAGAAGTCACAATCTTCCTCGTTCGCTTTAAGGCCCTATAACAATTGGCATCTGATCGTAAGAATTTACTCAATCAGGGTATCTGACCGAAATCACCTTTGGGACTTAAGCTACGGTCAACTATACCTACTCGACGGAAATCTTGACTTTCAGGCGCATTCTCGAAATAGTCAACCGGATATTTAAGATGACAAAAACGACAATAACAATGTATATCAAACAGGGCGGTGGCAAATATTGCAGGTATCAGAGTAGGCTTCCGCACGCAAGATAAATGAAGTTACATTGTTAAGCACTCAAACAGAAACTTCGGTTAAAAACAGTTGTGTCCGAACGCCTCAAATAATATTTTTTTTAGTCACTAGTACAATGTGGCAAACTCAGAAAAGTTATAGTCACGCAAATTTCTCGTAGACATGCCAGGTAGACTATTCAGCAATTGCTGTTCAGGTCAGCACTTAAATGAATAGCTTACAGAATGGTGGTGAGCCCATTTGAATTTTGAAAGTCCGATGCCGTAGTGAGCGCAGGAGCTTAAGCTCGGGTCTGAATTGAAGTTCATAAGGGAGTTGGGGTGATGTTGAACAGAATTAACTAGCCGAACACAACAAGAACTTAAAGAACGTAGAAGGCAGTCAAAGTAAAAAAGACAACAGGCGGAATGCGCACACTCGTGGATACGGTCGAATGAATGGCTTCAATAGGGTAAACTCAACTTCATAGACATTTACAGGAAGCTGCACTCACTTGGAATTGTCCAACAGCATTTGCTGGGCCTCGCTCCAGGTAGTCCGATAAGTCAAATTTGGCATGGTATTTAGGATTTCATTAAATACCTTGATATTACGCTTTCGCAATGTCTTCGCCTCCTCTTTTTCTCGTTTGGCAATCTCCTGAATAGCATCGGCGAAAAGTATCCTTCGGTCGTGGTCAGGCACACTCGTCCACTCGTGGACGTCAGAGAGAACCTGATCAACTTTTCGGTATGACATCGTCGAGTGAATTTTTTTCGTTTGCAACAAAAACTTTTCAAGATTTTCCTTTGCCTGTTTCGCCTGCATTCTTTGCTCTTCACGCTCTTCTTTCTGGCGTTGCGTCTTGTACACGTTGAATATCTGTTTTTTCTCAACAAAGTTCCGCAAAACGGCATACCTCGGGTCGTCACCGATCAGCTTCAAAGCCTGTTCCCATGTTGCATTGCCTGGAACACCCTTTTCCCTAAAAAGTTGGCGGAGACCCTCAGCCATTTCTCCACGTGTTTTGTATTCAGGGGCAGCAGGAGTAGGTGGGGGAGGAGGGGTTTCTGTGACGTAGCTTGTTCCTTTTCGAGAATCGTCGTGCGTTGGGGGAAGATCAAGCTTGACTTCATGGTCCGCATTCTGTGGGGGGAGAGGGATATTGGAAGAATTAAGGTCCTGGCTGTTGGCTGAGGATTTATCCGTACCAATAGAAGCAAGTGTTGCTTTCATGGCGATTTCCATCGCGGACGGCTCATTGGGCTTGGGATCATCACTCGGGGTTGCGGGTGTAATGGGTGTCCCGACGGCAGCAATAGATGGCAAGGACGCAGGGGCCAGCCCAGACGCCGAGCTGTCAGCCGATAGCGCGTTGGCTTCTGCATCAGCAAGCTCTTGCGGTTTAGTCCACACAGACTGTTTCGTCTGGGTATTGTAATAATAAGGTTTCCCAGATTCCGACTTATGCTCTTTCCATGGACAAAGCGCAAGCAACCGCTCGGCTGCCGTCTTGAGTTCGTCGGGCTTTTCCCACGTTGTAACCTTAGTTATTGTGTTATAGTAATATTTGCGGCCATCGTGTGATGTGTGCTCGACCCACGTGTTCGATGAGGCCGGCTGAAAGGTGGGTACAGGTATGGTTTGTTGAACCGCCGACGGAACGTAACCAGCAGCGTAATAGGTTTGTGGGACATAGTGCACCGCAGGAACACCGTAGGGCGGAGGATACCCAGCCATACAATAAGTAAGGAAAAAATTGCAGACGGACAAACTAACACAAATTCACAGTTGTTGCTGCCCTCCTATTGGCTATTTCATATGCTCATGGTAGAAATTTCAAGGTGTATGGTAGGCCGAGGCTCACGTCAAGACATGTGATTTATCCAGGAATTAAACTTTTTGACGGGGACAAAGCACTGCCTTCCGACCTGTTTGCCATACACCACATGCGAATTTTTGTCCTTGAAAATTTTCATTTTATGCGTACTGGTTGAAGTGCGATAGCCCACGTGAACTGTAGGACCCCACCTCCAAGACAAACAGGAAATGCCAGTTTCTGTGACTCTAGTCAAGAAATCGAAGTTCATAAAAATTTCTTATGAATATTTAGCGTCATAAGTACGCAGATTTCACTGTGAAGAATAACTTTTTTCAAGTATCTGTGAGAGCAGCAAGGGCAAATTCAGTGCTCACCGATTTGGAAATCTAGAAATGGTCAACATAAAACCAAGGCAGCAAACAGGGTAAGGTGTGCCCGCCAACACGTCTATATAAGGCGGAAGACGTCAATAAAGCGCACACGCAACTTAAAGCCGAATTCCATAGGAAAATATAAAATATAAGTTGGGACAGACAAGGGGGTAGTAATATGCGTATGTTAAAAGGGCAACAGAACAGTTCAAGCAAGCTAGGTACCTAAAAGTCTGAAAATGTCCAAAATTAATACAATAGCGTTCGTTATTTTCTCTGGACCAATGGAGCGACCTCTTTTGGTTTCGTCTCTGCTGCGAATAGCAGTGACCTGTTTTTTGAATTCTGTAGAAATATGCGCGATGACAAGGTTTTCCGCATGGTCCGTTGATCATTTGCGTAGATTTTTCGTGTCAGGCTTGTAGGGTTGCTTGCGAATTAAATAGGTTATTGAGATACCCACGGAGGTCTGAGGTGGTCATACGGGAGGTGACATACGCCATCTGTTTGATTATTATAATGGGCATAGTCTTCTTTGATTCAGAGCGGGAACTGATGATATTCCTATGCGAGCTTATTAAGACAGAACTCTTATGCAGCTGATAAGAACTGTCACTTATTGCCAGAATTCCTCTAAAATTCCCACACTAAAGAGCAAGTTATGGGTCCGCGCATGTGGGCAGTATTCGGAGGTGGCCTAAAGAAAGTTGTGTAGAGACAACAGAATCTTCGTTGTACGATTTATTTTGAGCTAATTTTGGTGAAACAGCGTTTTGTTTGTCCACGCGGAGACTCGCAAGCATTGCTTCGTCGATACGGAAGTCCCAACTACATCGCTACTACTAAAATTTAAAGCACCAGAGGCAGACAGGTGATAATTTTTCCTACGGCCGAGCGCAGACACTTAAAATTTGAAGCCCGAGTAACTCGTCATTCATAAAAACCTACGCGCAAGTGTCTTAGGGTCGACGCAAACTCGCAGTGTTCACGAGGCGCTAGCTAAGTCAGAACTTCTCCGATCAACTGGTTGATCTGATCATCGAAGGGTGCTGCGTCTCCCGGGCTAGGAGCATCAAGCCGATGAGCCCTAGTTATCGCATGAATTCCGGAAATGTCATTAGGACACAATTTATATTTGCTATAAACAACGAAATGTCTACCAATGCTTTATTAACGACCCGTATTATGTCTAATAGGTCCATGAATATTCCACATAATAGTAATGTTTGCATTTAATATCAGTTTACGGGCATTATCAAAGGAAGATGAAGCATGGGTCGGGTTAACAGTGAAAAAAACTCCTGATGGCTAAATACAGAGAATGGTGCATTTGAATATTTTATATGGCTTAGGAGAAAGATAACTTCTTCCGTGAACTGACTGTAGTCCAGAAAGGGGTGGGTAATACTACCACGGATATTTTCAGTCTCAATTCATTCTCCTGAAATTGGGACTGGACCGTTGTTCGCTGGCAGTTGAAGATATTGTTCGGGGTGATCCCGGCCGGGGGTATCTGAGACAACGAACGCCATCGTTACGGTGGACTAAATAGGTGGATTGAGCAACCAAAATATGAGGGGAATTTTTCGAATGAAAAACGAGCAATGGTTCTATTAAATAAAGGATAGATTTGCAGAATTTTCGCATTCTTGGGTAACTTATCTCAAATTCCTATTGGACTCACGGAAATGCAACGACGATATTAAACGAAACGTGCCAGAGAAAGAAATAAAAAGACGTCGCGATGACTTTCACCTCGGGGATGGACGATATGTTAAAGGTACGATCGTTTAAAAGCTTAAATAGTAAGAATAGTCCCTTTTGTAATCGACGAAACCACAAGGGGTCAAGGCCTGTAAGGTCGCAACATTACTTGTAGTTCAAGTACTGGTGGTCCAACTTTAAAACTAGCTTGTATAAGGATCTGGACCACGCCTCTAGAAGAGGGTTCTGATGTCGATGTCGTGTACATCAACTTCCGCGAAGCTTTTGATACTGTTCCGCATGAACGTCTTCTTCACAAATTGAACGTCATCGGCATTCGGGGACATCTTCTGAAGTGGATAAGGGCGTTTCTGGTTGGTCGGAAACAACGTGTCCGTGTCGGAGATGATGTCAGAATGGGTGAACTTGACGAGTGGTGTGCCTTAAGGTTCCGTTCTGGGACCAGTGTTCTTCATCCTTTATTTAATGACAGACTTTAGGAACTCGATTGCGGCAAATTAATGTTTGCCGACGACGTTAAGCTCTGGCAAGTCATAAAGGATCCGAATGATCAGAGATCCTTACAGGATAATCTGCACCAACTGCAAGCGTGGTCGGAGAAATGGCTTCTAGATTTCAATGTGGAGAAGTGTGCCGTCCTTCATCTGCGTCTAACCACCTCTAATTCAAATGAGAGCCTGAGGACATATTACCTGAAAGACATAAGACTCCCCGCAGAATCTTCACAGAAGGATTTCGGGGTTTGGATACAGAACAACCTGAAACCAACACTACAGTGCCAAAAGTTTGCAAAAAACGCCATGAGAGTGCTGCATGCAATCAAAAGGGCGTTCGTGACCTTTGACCAAGACCTTTTTGGAAAGTTCACGGCACCTTTATTCGGCCTCACTTAGAATATGGCCTACAAGCATGGCGGTCATGGCTAGTAAAGGACCAAGCATACCTCGAACGGGTAAAACGTCGTGCAACAAAGCTGGTAAACGATCTAAAAAGCCAATACTACACAGACAGACTGAATTGCCTTAATTTATTCCCTCTGTGTTACAGGCAGCAAAGAGGTGATATTATCCTCTTCTTCAAGATAATACATGGCCTTGAGCATGGACTTAGCTTTGAGGACATGTTTCAGTGGCACCTTTCATCCAATCTTTGAGGTCACTCGATGAAGTTACGGACAACAATGTCCAGGCCGGATCTTCGTTCTGAAATTTTCACGCAGAGCGTAGGGGAGAAATGGAGCGATCTCCCCCAGGCAGTCGTGGAGGCGACGTGTCTGCAATTCTTCAAAAAACGCTTGGATGATTATTTGTGTCCCTTGTTTTCCCTCGACAGTCTGAATCTGACCTAAGACCCCGTGTCCCTACAAATATTTTCTCTGAGACAATGTTACTCAAGTGAACCAAGTACTTTTTTATTAGCGAATATTTTTATTGTTCGTGTACAGCTATTTCAAACGAACTGACATGTAATCAATAGAGTTTTCAAAGGCTTTGCCTATTATCCTTACCAAATAAACTGAAAAAACTCTCTTAGTAAAGAAAGGTTGGACGGATTTTATTTTCTTTTGTCCAACAACACGCATGAGGCTAAATAAAAAAGACAGTATTCCATGTCACGTCGAAAGTGCATTTCATGGAAATGCATTTTATCATCGCTAGTTTTAGAATTTCGGCGGATAAACCCGGTCATTCTGCGTGCTTTGGAGACAATCAGGGGACAGCGCGCGGAAAGATTAAGCCGCCGACCACCATTACCGAGCATTTATGCCAAGAAAGAGAAAAGCACCGTGTGCGGCACCACTGGGCGATGGCTCGTAGGTCACTTTTTAGTAGTTCCAGCACCATGTCACTATGACGCATTGATCAACTCTGAATGGCTGAACTGAAAAGCGCGTTGAGCATTTGCCGGGGTGTCTTTTTCAAGGAACTTTATGAAAACTTTTCGTGTGATGCTTTTCATCATTTCGGAACAAATTCATGTTAGTGACATGGGCCTCTGTCTACTACCACCCACCTTTGCTGGACACACACCTAAATGCCTTACTGAGATCGAGGAAGACAGACTCAACCAAACAGTCGTTAAAGGTTTCATTTGCAATATATGTTTCTTTGGAAAAATTCTACCCTCACGACGGTGATTTTATGTGCATTTATACATCCAAGCTGGTCGAGGAGAAAGCAAGCATTCACATAAATTCGTCTGCTAACGGCTTTTCTCAGTAAACTGGTGTAGATGACGGGGCGATTGTTAGCCGAGGACCACGGAAGTGATGTTAATTAGTGTAGCGGCCGAAGACGTTGATGGCAGTACACAGGGTTAGGGTGACACACTGAGGGTAAGTCCTGGCTAGGACCAAGCTGACAAAGTTTGTTAGACACGTTAGCATGCAAACGTGTTTAACAACCAAGAAAAAACAAAAAAAGTTGAAAGAGTACAAACTAAATGCTAGGCACAATAGTTTCGTATATCTAAAAGCGCCAAATAATACAAGGAAAGGTGAGAATTACACGAGGAACATGATCCGTCTGGATGGTAAGGAAACACCAACATGCCTAGTAAGCAACCAATGGGAAAAACGGCGCTGGGGGTGGCTGTAGGGAGGGCCCTTTAAATGCTGACGTGGAGACTGATCGAGGAAATCGATACGACAAATGTTGCGGCGGTGAAGTCGGAGGCCATAGGGGGGGGAGGTAAGACACTGGTTATTTTTACTGACACGCGGTCAGCCCCGTCTCCATTTTAGATTCCCATCAGAAGCGTCCATTTCATTCAAACAACCCGATTCAATAGGTGAGGAGTTGCAGTAGGAAAGGACCTACGGC